GAAGGAAAGTGAGGAAAAGGTGGAAAATTTTGGAAAAATTGGGGGAAATCTGGGGAAACTGAGGATAATTGGAGGAAAAATTGTAGAAATTCAGGAAAATCGGGAAAAATTCAGGAAAATTTTTGGAAAATCAGGGGAAACTGAGGAAAATTCGGGGAAAGTGGGGAAAACTGGGGAAACTGAGGAAAATTGGAGGGAAAATTGTAGAAATTCATGGAAATCGGGAAAATTCAGGAAAATTTTTGGAAAATTTGGGGGAACTGGGGAAAATTGTGGGAAACTGAGGAAAACTGGAGGAAAAATTGTAGAAGTTCAGGAAAATTTTTGGAAAATTCGGGGAAACTGAGGAAAATTCGGGGAAAATGGGGAAAATCTGGGGAAACTGAGGAAAATGGAGTGAAACTGAGGAAAATTTGGGAAAAATGGGGAAAATCTGGGGAAAATGAGGAAAATGGAGCGAAACTGAGGAAAATGGCGGTACAGTGAGGAAAATGGCGGTAAAGATCTGGGCAAAATGGAGGAAAAGGGAAGGAAACTGAGGAAAAGGTGGAAAATTTTGGAAAAATTGGGGAAAATCTGGGGAAACTGAGGAAAATTTTGGGAAACTGAGGAAAATTTGGGGAAAATCTGGGGAAACTGAGGAAAATGGAGCAAAACTGAGGAAAATGGCGGTAAAGATCAGGAGGAAACTGAGGAAAAGGAGGGTAAAAATTCTAAAAATTCAGGAAAATTGAGGGAAAATTTGGGGAAAATCCCAGTAAATTCAGGAAAATTTTGGGAAAATTTTGAGGAAAATTTGGGGAAACTGAGGAAAATTTGGGAAAATTGGGGAAAATTTGGGGAAACTGAGGAAAATTGGGGAAAATCTGGGGAAACTGAGGAGAATTTTGGGAAACTGAGGAAAATTTGGGGAAAATGGGGAAAATCTGGGGAAACTGAGGAAAATGGAGCGAAACTGAGGAAAATGGCGGTACAGTGAGGAAAATGGCGGTAAAGATCTGGGGAAACTGAGGAAAACGGGGGAAAACTGGGAAAATTTTGGGAAAATTTGAGTAAATATTGGAAAATCAGGAAAATTTTGGAAAAATTGGGGAAAATCCGGGGAAACTGAGGAAAATTGGAGGGAAAATTGTAGAAATTCAGGAAAATTTTTGGAAAATCAGGGGAAACTGAGGAAAATTTGGGGAAAATGGGGAAAACTGGGGAAACTGAGGAAAATGGCGGTACAGTGAGGAAAATGGTGGTAAAGATCAGGAGGAAACTGAGGAAAATGAGGGTAAAAATTGTAAAAATTCAGGAAAATCGAGGGAAAATTTGGGAAAAATCCCAGTAAATTCAGGAAAATTTTGGGAAAATTTTGAGGAAAATTTGGGGAAACTGAGGAAAATTTGGGAAAATTGGGGAAAATTTGGGGAAACTGAGGAAAATTTTGGGAAACAGAGGAAAATTTGGGGAAAATGAGGAAAATTGGGGAAAATCTGGGGAAACTGAGGAGAATTTTGGGAAACTGAGGAAAATTCGGGGAAACTGAGGAAAATCTGGGGAAACTGAGGAAAATGGAGCGAAACTGAGGAAAATGGCGGTACAGTGAGGAAAATGGCGGTAAAGATCTGGGGAAACTGAGGAAAAGGAGGGTAAAAATTGTAAAAATTCAGGAAAATCGAGGGAAAATCCCAGTAAATTCAGGAAAATTTAGGGAAAACTTGTGAAATCTCGGGGGAACAGAGTCTGGCACACTCACTGGCCCGCGAGCAGACGTCCCTCCGCGAGCCGTGGGCCAGCCAGCGGCTCCAGTTGCCGGTGCCGCCGTAGAGCACCGCGCGCCGCTGCCGCTCGTGGCCGAAGTTGAAGAAGAGCCCGGAGCCCCCCAGGGCCAGCAGAGCCAAAAAATTTGGGGTCGGGATTAGGGAAAATCCCAAATTTTGGGGTCAGGACTGGGGAATTACAAAGATTTGAGGGGAAAATTTGAAAAAAAATTGGGAAAACTTGAGGGAAAATTGGGAAAATTTGAGGGAAAATCAAGAAAAATCGGGAAAATTTGGGGAAACCCTGAACCAAGCCTGGAAAACAGGAAACTTGGGAAAATTTTGAAAAAATTTTGAGGAAATTTGAGAAGATTTTGGGAAATTGGAGAAAATATGGGGAAACTGAGGAAAATGGGGGGAAACTAAGGAAAATTGGGGAAAATTGGGGAAAATTTGGGGAAACTGAGGAAAATGGCGGTAAAGATCTGGGCAAAATGGAGGAAAAGGGGGGGAACTGAGGAAAACGGGGAAAAACTGGGAAAATTTTGGGAAAATTGGGGAAATCTGGGGAAACGGAGGAAAATTTGGGGAAAATGAGGAAAATTTGGGGAAACTGAGGAAAATGGCGGTAAAGATCTGGGCAAAATGGAGGAAAAGAGGGAAAACTGAGGAAAATTTGGGGAAACTGCAGAAAATTGGGGGAAAAAATTGTAAAAATTCAGGAAAATCGAGGGAAAATTTGGGGAAAATCCCAGTAAATTCAGGAAAACTTTGGGAAAACGTGTGAAATCTGGGGGGAACGGAGCCGAACCGAATCTGGCACACTCACTGGCCCGCGAGCAGACGTCTCTCCGCGAGCCGTGGGCCAGCCAGCGGCTCCAGTTGCCGGTGCCGCCGTAGAGCGCCGCGCGCCGCTGCCGCTCGTGGCCGAAGTTGAAGAAGAGCCCGGAGCCCCCCAGGGCCAGCAGAGCCAAAAAATTTGGGGTCGGGATTGGGGAAAATCCCAAAAAATTTGGGGTCAGGACTGGGGAATTACAAAGATTTGAGGGGAAAAGTTGAAAAAAAATTGGGAAAACTTGAGGGAAAATTGGGAAAATTTGAGGGAAAATCAAGAAAAATCGGGAAAATTTGGGGAAACCCTGAACCAAGCCTGGAAAACAGGAAACTTGGGAAAATTTTGAAAAAATTTTGAGGAAATTTGAGAAGATTTTGGGAAATTGGAGAAAATATGGGGAAACTGAGGAAAATGGGGGGAAACTAAGGAAAATTGGGGAAAATTGGGGAAAATTTGGGGAAACTGAGGAAAATGGCGGTAAAGATCTGGGCAAAATGGAGGAAAAGGGGGGGAACTGAGGAAAACGGGGAAAAACTGGGAAAATTTTGGGAAAATTGGGGAAATCTGGGGAAACGGAGGAAAATTTGGGGAAAATGAGGAAAATTTGGGGAAACTGAGGAAAATGGCGGTAAAGATCTGGGCAAAATGGAGGAAAAGAGGGAAAACTGAGGAAAATTTGGGGAAACTGCAGAAAATTGGGGGAAAAAATTGTAAAAATTCAGGAAAATCGAGGGAAAATTTGGGGAAAATCCCAGTAAATTCAGGAAAACTTTGGGAAAACGTGTGAAATCTGGGGGGAACGGAGCCGAACCGAATCTGGCACACTCACTGGCCCGCGAGCAGACGTCTCTCCGCGAGCCGTGGGCCAGCCAGCGGCTCCAGTTGCCGGTGCCGCCGTAGAGCGCCGCGCGCCGCTGCCGCTCGTGGCCGAAGTTGAAGAAGAGCCCGGAGCCCCCCAGGGCCAGCAGAGCCCCCCGGCCGCACGCCCAGCGCTGCAGCCGCCCGCCGCGGCACGGGCCCAGCCGCAGCAGCGCGCCCGCCGCCTCGGCGCTGGCCCCCGCGCAGCGGCCGCTGGCCGCGTGCCGCAGGAGACCCCCGGGCAGCCACTGGAAGAGCTGCGAGGGCGAGGAGGGGGCGCAGGGGGCCAGTGAGAGCCACGGGCCGGCGGTCACCACGCAGCCAGAGTGGTGCTGGTTGTAGATGAGGAAGGGGCTGGAGGCTGCGGGGAAAGGGTTGTGGCTAGTGGGGGGGTGGGTGGCTAGTGGGGGGGGTGGGTGGCTAGTGGGGTGGTGGGTGGCTAGTGGGGTGGTGGGTGGCTAGTGGGGGGGTGGGAGGTCCACCAGGGTTTGGCTTGTGACCACCTGGAGTTGGCCCGTGGTCACTTGGGTTTGGTCAGTGGCTACCTGGAGTTGGTCAGTGGCCACTTGGGTTTGGCTTTTGACCACCTGGATTTGGCTTTTGACCACCTGGATTTGGCCTGTGGTCACTTAGATTTGGTCAGTGGCCACTTGGATTTGGTCAGTGGTCACTTGGGTTTGGCCACTGGCCAGTTGGATTTGGCCTGTGGCCACTTAGATTTGGCTTGTGACCACCTGGAGTTGGCCCGTGGTCACTTGGATTTGGTCCGTGGCCACTTAGATTTGGCTTGTGACCACCTGGAGTTGGCCCGTGGTCACTTGGGTTTGGTCCGTGGCTACCTGGCGTTGGTCAGTGGCTGCCTGGAGTTGGCCAGTGACCACCTGGATTTGGTCAGTGGCCACCTGGATTTGGTCAGTGGCCACCAGGAGTTGGCCAGTGGCCACTTGGATTTGGCTTGTGGCCACTTGGGTTTGGTCAGTGGTCACATGGATTTGGCCAGTGGCCACCTGGATTTGGCCTGTGCCCAGCTGAAGTTGGCGAGTGGTCACCTGGATTTGACCAGTGGCTACCAGGAGATGGTCAGTGGCCACTTGAATTTGGCTTTTGACCACCTGGATTTGGTCAGTGGTCACCAGGATGTGGCCTGTGGCAACCTGGATTTGGTCAGTGGCCACTTGGATTTGGCTTGTGACCACCTGGAGTTGGCCCGTGGTCACTTGGGTTTGGTCAGTGGCCAGTTGGACTTGGTCAGTGGCCACTTGGATTTGTCCTGTGGCTACCTGGAGTTGGTCAGTGGCTACCTGGATTTGGTCCGTGGTCACTTGGATTTGGCCAGTGGCTACCTGGAGTTGGTCAGTGGCCACTTGGGTTTGGTCAGTGGCCACTTGGATTTGGTCAGTGGCCACCTGGGTTTGGTCAGTGGTCACCAGGAGTTGGTCAGTGGTCACCAGGACGTGGCCTGTGGCCACCTGGATTTGGCCAGTGGCTACCAGGAGATGGTCAGTGGACAGGTGACAATGGGACAGGTGACAATGGACAGGTGACACTGGACAGGTGACACTGGACAGGTGACAATGGGACAGGTGACAGTGACACTGGACAGGTGACAAGGGACACGTGAGAGGGACAGGTGACAATGGGACAGGTGACACTGGAGAGGTGACAAGGGAAAGGTGACATTGGGAGGGGACAGGTGACAATGGACAGGTGACAAGGACAGGTGACAATGGGACAGGTGACAAGGACAGGTGACAATGGGACAGGTGACACTGGAGAGGTGACAAGGGAAAGGTGACAGTGGAAGGGGACAGAGGACAGGTGACACTGGGCAGGTGACATTGGGAGGGGACAGGTGACATTGGACAGGTGACACTGGGACAGGTGACACTGACAGGTGACAATGGACAGGTGACAATGGACAGGTGACACTGGGCAGGTGACATTGGGAGGGGACAGGTGACAATGGACAGGTGACACTGGACAGGTGACACTGGACAGGTGACAATGGACAGGTGACACTGACAGGTGACACCGACCTGCTGTTGGTGGCGGCTCCTTCGCCTTCTCGGCCTCCAGGGCGGCCTCCAGGGCCGAGACTGAGGGGACATTTTGGGGACATTTTGGGGACATTTTGGGGACATTTTGGGGACATCGCAACTCCCAAAATGTCCCCAAATTCCTCCAGAATTCCCCCAAAAACCTCCCTAAAAATCGCCCCAAAAAGGCCCCAAATACCCCCAAAATCCACCCCAAAATTCCCCAAAAATTCCCTCAAAGTCGTCCCAAAATCCTCCCAAAAATCTCCCCCAAAATCCGCTCCAAAACCCCAAAATTCCCCCCAAATTATCCCAAAATCCTCCAAAAAGATCCTCCCCAAAACAGCCCCAAATCCCCCCAAAATCCTCCCAAAATTGCCCCAAAATTGACCCAAAATCCACCCCAAAACCCTCAGATCCCCCCAATCCCCCCAAAATTCCCCAAATTCCCCCCAAAATCCACCCCAAAATCCCAAAATTCCTCCAAAATCTCCCCAAAAATCCACCCCAAAGCAGCCCCGAATCCCCTCAAATTCGTTTCCAAAATCCCTCTAAAATCCACCCCAAAATTCCCCCAAACCCCCAAATCCCAAATACCCCCTCAAAATTTCCCTAAAAAAAAATCCCCAAAAATCCCCAAAATAATCCTGAAAATTTCTTTAAAAAATCGTCAAAAATCCAAAAAAAATCCATTAAAAAATCCCAAAATTTCCCTTAAAAAATCCCCCCAAAAACACCCAAAGAATCCCCCCCAAAAATCAGGTAAAAATCCCAAAAAATCCCCAAAATTTCCCTAAAAATATCCCTTTTAAAAATCCATTTAAAAATAAAAAAAAATCCTCAAAAAAACCTCTAAAAATCCCCCAAAATCCCCAAAATTTCCCTAAAAATATCCCTTTAAAAAATCCTTAGAAAATCCCCAAAAAATCCCCAAAATTTCCCTAAAAATATCCCTTAAAAATCCATTAAAAATTAAAAAAAAAAAAATCCTCAAAAAATCCTCAAAAAATCCCCCAAAATTTCCCTACAAATATCCCTTAAAAATCCATTAAAAATTCCAAAAAAAATCCCCAAAAAATCTTGAAGAAATCCCAAAAATAACCCCAAAATTCCTCAAAAATCCCCAAAAAAATCCTCAGAATTTCCCTAAAAAATCCCCCAAAAGTCCTAAAAAAACCCTCAAAAAACCCTCAAAAAATCCCCAAAATTTCCCTAAAAATATCCCTTAAAAATCCATTAAAAATTAAAAAAAAAATCCTCAAAAAAACCTCAAAAAATCCCAAAAGAATCCCCAAAAATCCCAAAAAAATCCTCAAAAAAACCTCAAAAAATCCCCAAAAATCCCCAAATTTTCCCTAAAAATATCCCTTAAAAATTCATTAAAAATTTTAAAAAATCCTCCAAAAACCCTCAAAAAATCCCCCAAAATCCCCAAAATTTCCCTAAAAATATCTCTAAAAAATCCATTTAAAATTCCAAAAAAAATCCTCAAAAAATCCCCAAAAATCCCCAAAATTTCCCTAAAAATATCCCTTAAAAATCCATTAAAAATTTTTAAAAATCTTCCAAAAATCCCTTAAAAATCCCCAAAAATCCCAAAAAAATCCGTCAAAAATCCCAAAAAAATCCCAAAGAATCCCCAAAAATCCCCAAATTTTCCCTAAAAATATCTCTAAAAAATCCATTAAAAATTAAAAAAAAAATCCTCAAAAAATCCCAAAAAAATCCCCAAAAATCCCAAAAAAATCCGTCAAAAACCCCCAAAAAATCCCAAAAAATCACTTTAAAATCCCCAAAAAACCCCAAATTTCCCCAAAATGCCCCAAAACCCCCAAATTTGCCCGTTGCCGACTCACTGCGCCGCGCCCCGAGCGTCCCCAGCAGCAGCAGCAGCGTCACCGCCAGGGCCACCAGGGCCACCAGGGCCACCAGGGCCACCAACGTCCCCCGCGGGGCCACCGGGGCGGGCCCGGGGGGGGAGGGGCGCGGCTTGGGGGGGGTCCCCGGGGTGGGGGAGGGGTCCAGGAGCTCGTAGGGGTCCTCGGGAGGGGGTGGCACTTGGGGACAGCCTGGGGGGACGCAGGGGACAGCGGTGGTGGCATTTGGGGACAGCTTGGGGGGGTTGGGGACAGGTTTGGGGACATCTAAGGGGGTTGGGGACAGCAGTGGTGGCACTTGGGGACAGCTTGGGGGGTTGGGGACAGCAGGGGTGGCACTTGTGGACATCTGGAGGGGATTGGGGACATCCTTGGGGACATCTAAATGGTTTGGGGACAGCAGTGGTGGCACTTGGGGACAGCTTGGGGGGTTGGGGACATCCTTGGGGACATTTAAAAGGGTTGGGGACAGATTTGGGGACATCTAAAGGGGTTGAGGCCATCCTTGGGGACATCTAAAGGGGTTGGGGACAGCAGTGGTGGCACTTGGGGACAGGTTTGGGGACAGCTGGAGGGGTGGGGACAGGACTGGTGGCACCTGGGGACATCTGGAGGGGTTGGGGACAGGTTTGGGGACATCAAAAAGGGTTGGGGACAGGTTTGGGGACAGCTTGGGGGGGTTGGGGACAGCAGGGGTGGCAATTGGGGACAGATTTGGGGACAGCTGGAGGGGTGGGGACAGGACTGTGGCACTTGGGGACAGGTTTGGGGACATCTAAAGGGGTTGGGGACAGGACTGGTGGCACTTGGGGACATCTAAAGGGTTTGGGGACAGCAGTGGCGGCACTTGGGGACAGCTTGGGGGGGTTGGGGACAGTTTTGGGGACATTTAAAAGGGTTGGGGACAGGTTTGGGGACATCTAAAGGGTTTGGGGACAGCAGTGGTGGCACTTGAGGACATCTGGAGGGGTTGGGGACAGGTTTGGGGACATCTAAAGGGGTTGGGGACAGCAGGGGTGGCACTTGGGGACATCTGGAGGGGTTGGGGACAGGTTTGGGGACATTTAAAAGGGTTGGGGACAGGTTTGGGGACATCTGGAGGGGTTGGGGACAGGTTTGGGGACATCTAAAGGGGTTGGGGACAGCAGTGGTGGCACTTGGGGACAGCCTGGGGGACGCAGGGGACAGCAGTGGTGGCAATTGGGGACAGGTTTGGGGACAGCTGGAGGGGTTGGGGACAGGTTTGGGGACATCTAAAGGGGTTGGGGACAGCAGTGGTGGCACTTGGGGACAGCCTGGGGGACGCAGGGGACAGCAGGGGTGGCATTTGGGGACAGCCTGGGGGGGTTGGGGACAGTAGTGGTGGCACTTGGGGACAGGTTTGGGGACATCTAAAGGGGTTGGGGACAACCTTGGGGACATCTAAAGGGGTTGGGGACAGCAGTGGTGGCACTTGGGGACATCAAAAAGGGTTGGGGACAGGTTTGGGGACAGCTTGGGGGGGTTGGGGACAGCAGTGGTGGCACTTGGGGACAGGTTTGGGGACAGCTGGAGGGGTGGGGACATCCTTGGGGACAGCTGGAGGGGTTGGGGACATCCTTGGGGACATCTAAAGGGGTTGGGGACAGGTCTGGTGGCACTTGGGGACATCTAAAGGGTTTGGGGACAGCAGTGGTGGCACTTGAGGACATCTGGAGGGGTTGGGGACAGGTTTGGGGACATTTAAAAGGGTTGGGGACAGGTTTGGGGAGGTGACACTGAGGACAGGGAGGTGACATTGGGGACAGGGAGGTGACACCGAGGTGACATTGGGGACATCGGTGGCCGTACCTTCCCCGGCTGCCCCGCCGGTGTCCAGCGCCGTCTCCACGTTCCCGTACATCGTCCCCAAATGTCCCCAAATTGTCCCCAAACTGTCCCAAACTATCCCCAAAAGGTCCCAAATGTCCCCAAATGTCCCCAAATTGTCCCCAAATTGTCCCAAAATATCCCCAAACTGTCCCCAAAAGTCCCCAAACTGTCCCCAAAAGTCCCCAAACTGTCCCAAAATATCCCCAAACTGTCCCCAAATGTCCCCAAATTGTCCCCAAATGTCTCCAAATGTCCCCAAATGTCCTCAAATATCCTCAAACTGTCCCCAAATGTCCCCAAACTGTCCCCAAATGTCCTCAAACTGTCCCCAAATGTCCTCAAATGTCCCCAAATGTCCCCAAATGTCCTCAAACTGTCCCCAAATGTCCTCAAATGTCCCCAAATGTCCTCAAATGTCCCCAAATGTCCCCAAATGTCCTCAAACTGTCCCTAAATGTCCCCAAATGTCCCCAAAAGTCCCCAAACTGTCCCCAAAAGTCCCCAAACTGTCCCAAAATATCCCCAAACTGTCCCCAAATGTCCCCAAATGTCTCCAAATGTCCCCAAATGTCCTCAAACTGTCACAAATGTCCCCAAACTGTCCCCAAACGGTCACAAATGTCCCCAAACTGTCCCCAAACTGTCCCCAAATGTACTCAAATGTCCCCAGATGTGTCACAAATGTCCCCAAACTGTCCCCAGATGTGTCACAAATGTCCCCAAACTGTCACAAATGTCCCCAAACTGTCCCCAGATGTGTCACAAATGTCCCCAGACTGTCCCCGAGCTGTCCCCGCTGTCCCTCCCCGATAACGCCCGCAGGGGACACATTTGGGGACAGGATGTCCCCTCCCCTCCCCTCCCCCACCCCGTGGTGGCCTCAGTGTCCCCTCCCCCCCTCCCAAAGGAGGTGGCACCAGGGGGTGTCCCCAAAGTGTCCCCAAGGTGTCCCCAAGGGTGGCACTTGCACCAGGGTGGCTCCACAGTGTCCCCAAGCCCTGTCACTGTCCCCATTGTCCCCAAAGTGTCCTGAAAGTGCCCCCAGTGTCCCCAAAGTGTCCCCATTGTCCCCAAGTCCCTGTCCCTGTCCCCAAAGTGTCCCCAAAGTGTCCCCAAGTCCCTGCCCCTGTCCCCAGAGTGTCCCCAAAGTGTCCCCAAGCCCTGTCCCTATCCCCACAGTGTCCCCAGGATGTCCCCATTGTCCCCAGAGTGTCCCCAAAGTGTCCCCAGAGTGTCCCCAAGTCCCTGTCCCTGTCCCCAGTGTCCCCAATCCCTGTCCCCAAAGTGTCCCCATTGTCCCCAAAGTGTCCCCAAGCCCCTGTCCCTTTCCCCAGAGTGTCCCTATTGTCCCCACAATGTCCCCATTGTCCCCAAGTCCCTGCCCCTGTCCCCAAAGTGTCCCCACAATGTCCCCATTGTCCCCAAGTCCCTGTCCCTGTCCCCAGAGTGTCCTCAAAGTGTCCCCATTGTCACCAAAGTGTCCCCAAGTCCCTGCCCCTGTCCCCAGAGTGTCCCCAAAATGTCCCCACAGTGTCCCCATTGTCCCCAAGTCCCTGTCCCTGTCCCCAGAGTGTCCCCACAATGTCCCCAGAGTGTCCCCATTGTCCCCAGAGTGTCCCCACTGTCCCCAATCCCTGCCCCTGTCCCCAAGGTTGTCCCCATTGTCCCCAAGCCCCTGTCCCTGTCCCCACAATGTCCCCAAAGTGTCCCCAAGCCCCTCCCCCAGGATGTCCCCAAAGCCACACAGGAAGAGCCAGGCGCTATCAGCCCCGGCCACCCCCTGTGTCACCTCCTGTGCCACCTCCTGTCCCCTCTGTCACCTCCTGTCCTCTGTGCCACCTCCTGTGTCACCTCCTGTCCCCTCAGTGTCCCCAAATGTCCCCCAGTGTCCCCGTCCGGGGACACTGGGGGACATTTGGGGGCACTGAGGGGACATTTGGGGGCACTGAGGGGAGATTTGGGGAGATTTGGGGACATTTGGTGACATTTTGGGGACATTTGGGGACATTTGGTGCCCCCCTCAGCCCAGTCCTCATCGCCATCCCCACAGTTCCCGCCCCCACCACCAGCCGCGCAGCGATTGGTCAATTCCAGTGATTGACAAACAAGCTGACCAATCGTCAGCGAGCGGCGCACAAACGCGGAAGCGGCGCCCAAAAAGCAGTGGGTGTCCCCCCCACCTCCTGCGTGCTGCGATTGGGTGACTCATCTGATTGACAGGCGAACGGACCAATGAGAGAAAAGCTCAGTGACAACTAGCCTCACCCCCCTCCGCCCTGTGATTGGCTGATCTCACTGATTGACACCCACATCAACCAATCACCGCCGCGCCGCACCCAACCCGGAAGCACCGCTCTCAAAACGGGAATATTTTGAGGGAAAACCTCGGGATTTTGGGATTTTCCTTTTTTTTTTTATTATTATTCCCCCTCCTCGGGCAGAACCTTCTGGGGCCTCCTCTGCAGCAGCTTCCGCGCAGGGGATCCCTGCAGCTGCCGGAATGCTCGTGAAGCTGGAAAAAAACCGGGAAAATCCCGAAATTCCTCATTTTTCCACCAAAATTCGCAGGATTTTGGGCAATTTTGGGCCATTTTGGGCGATTTTTTGGGATTTTGCTCACCCAGCTGCTCCGAGAGGCCCCTGAGGAAGCTCCGGCTCTCCTCGTGGAATTCCAGCACCATTTTCCCGGCCTGCTGGGCCTCATCCACCTGAAAATCCCCAAAAATTCCCATAAAATTCACATTAAAGCCCCAGAAAAGTAAAAAAAAAAAGAGCAAAATTAGAAATCCCCCCCAAAAAAAAAAACCCAAAAAAATCCCAAAAATTCCCCAAAATCCTCCAAAAAATCCCAAAATTTCCCCAAAACACCAAAAATTCCCATAAAATTCCCCAAAACCCCCTCCAAAAAAATCCCAAAGAAACAAAAAAAATCCCCAAAAAATTGTCTAAAAATTCAAAAAAATCCCCAAAAATCTCCCAAAATCCCCCATAAAAACCCCAAAAATCCACTAAAGTTCCCCAAAAATTCCTCAAAAAATCCCCAGAAATTCCCATAAAACAATCCAAAAAATCCCGAAAAATCCCAAAAAAATCCCCATAAAAATCCCAAAAGTCCCATAAAAACCCAAAAACTTCCCAAGAAATCCCAAAAATTCTCCCCAAAAAAATCCCAAAAATTCCCATAAAACCCCCAAAAAATTCCCCCAAAACCCCCCAACAATCCCCAAAAATCCTAAAAAAAATCCCCAAAACCCCCCAAAAATTCCCATAAAAACCCCCAAAATCCCCAAAATTCCCATAAAACCCCCCAAAAATTCCCCAAAAATCCCCAAAAAAATCCCCTAAAATCCCCCCAAAAAAATCCGCAAAAATCCTAAAAAAATCCCCAAAAATCCCCCAAAAAACTCCAAAAATTCCCATAAAAACCCCAAATATTCTCCCAAAAAATCCCCAAATATTTCTCCCAAAAAAATCCCCCAAAATTCCCATAAAACCCCCCAAATATTCCCCAAAAATCCACAAAAAAATCCCAAAATTTCTCCAGAAATCCACAAAAAAATCCCAAAAATCCACAAAAAAAAATCCCAAAAGTTCTCAGAAAATCCCCAAAAATTCCCCAAGACAAACCCCAAAAATTCCCCAAAATTCCCCCCAAAATATTCTCAAATAAACAAAAAAAAATCCCAAAAATTCCCCAAAAATCCCCATAAATCCCCCCAAAAAATCCCCAAAAATTCCGATAAAACCCCCCAAAATCCCATAAATTTCCCAAATCCGGGTTTTTTCACCCTAAAATCCTCACCAGGAGCCGCAGGGCGGGCAGGGCCGGGCCCTGCTGGGTCAGGATGGCGCCGTAGAAAAAATCCCCAAAATTCCCAAAAATCCCCCAAAAATTCCCATAAAAACCCCCAAAATTCCCCCCAAATTCCATGAAATCCCCCAAATTTCCCAAATTTGGGGTTTTTCACCCCAAAATCCTCACCAGGAGCTGCAGGGCGGGCAGGGCCGGGCTCTGCTGGGTCAGGATGGCGCCGTAGAAAAAAATCCCCAAAATTCCCAAAAATCCCCCCAAAATTCCCATAAAAACTCCCAAAATTCCATGAAATTGCCCAAATTTCCCAAATTTGGGTTTTTTCACCCCAAAATCCTCACCAGGAGCCGCAGGGCGGGCAGGGCCGGGCCCTGCTGGGTCAGGATGGCACCATAGAAAAAATCCCCAAAAATCCCCCAAAAATTCCCATTAAAACCCCCAAAATTCCCCCCAAATTCCATGAAATCCCCCAAATTTCCCAAATTTGGGGTTTTTTCACCCCAAAATCCTCACCAGGAGCCGCAGGGCGGGCAGGGCCGGGCCCTGCTGGGTCAGGATGGCGCCGTAGTCGGGTTTGGAGGCCAAAATTTGGGAATTTTTGGGAATGGCGGGAGGGGCCCCGGGAGGGCTCCCGGCCCGGAGCTGCTCCAAATTCCTGGAAAAACGGGAATTTTGGGGGTAAAAACGAGGATTTTGGGAAACTTGGTTGGTAAACGGGGGGAAATCTGGGGTAAATTCGGGAATTTTGGGGGTAAAAATGGGGATTTTACGGCAAAAAATTGGGAATTTTGGTGTGGAAATTTGGGGATTTTGGAGGTAAAAATGGGGATTTTGGGGGGAATTTTTTGGGTAAAAATGAGGATTTTGGGAAACTTGGTGGTAAATGGGAGAATCTGGGGTAAATTCGGGAATTTTGGGGGTAAAAATGGGAATTTGGGGAGAAAAGGGGGAATTTGGGGATAAAAGGGGGAATTTGGGGCTCAGTGGGGAATTTGGGGATAAAAGTGGGAATTTCGGGGAGAAAAGTGGGTATTTTTGGGATAATTGTAGGAATTTGGGGATAAAAGTGGGAATTTGGGGGTAAAAGTGGGAATTTGGGGATCAATGTGGGAATTTTGGGGATAAAAGTGGGAATTTGGGGATCAATATGGGAATTTTGGGGATAATAGTGGGAATTTGGGGGGTAAATGTGGGAATTTTGGGGAGAAAAGTTGGGAAAGTTGGGAATAAAAGTGGGAATTTGGGGATCAGTATGAGAATTTTGGGGATGAATGTTGGGATTCCGGGGATAAAAGGGGAATTTTGGGGATAAAAGTGGGAATTTGGGGATCAATGTGGAAATCAATGTGGGAATTTTGGGGATAAAAGTGGGAATTTGGGGATCAGTGTGGGAATTTTGGGGATAAAAGTGGGAATTTGGGGATAAATATGGGAATTTTGGGGAAAAAAAAGTGGGTATTTTTGGGATAATTGTGGGAATTTGGGGATCAGTGTGGGAATTTTGGGGATGAATGTTGGGATTCCGGGGATAAAAGGGGGATTTTGTGGGATAAAAGTGGGAATTTTGGGGAGAAAAGTGGGTATTTTTGGGATAATTGTAGGAATTTGGGGATAAAAGTGGGAATTTGGGGGTAAAAGTGGGAATTTGGGGATCAATGTGGAAATCAATGTGGAAATTTTGGGGATAAAAGTGGGAATTTGGGGATCAGTGTGGGAATTTTGGGGATAAAAGTGGGAATTTGGGGATCAATATGGGAATTTTGGGGAAAAAAAAGTGGGTATTTTTGGGATAATTGTGGGAATTTGGGGATGGATGTGAGAATTTTGGGGATGAATGTTGGGATTCCGGGGATGGATGTGAGAATTTTGGGGATGAATGTTGGGATTCCGGGGATAACAGGGGGATTTTGTGGGATAAAAGTGGGGATTTGGGGATCAGTGTGAGAATTTTGGGGATAAAAGTGGGAATTTGGGGATCAGTGTGGGAATTTTGGGGATGAATGTTGGGATTCTGGGGATAAAAGGGGAATTTTTGGGATAAAAGTGGGAATTTGGGGATCAGTGTGGGAATTTTGGGGATGAATGTTGGGATTTTGGGGATGAGTGTGAGAATTTTGGGGATGAATGTTGGGATTTTGGGGATAAAAGGGGGATTTTTGGGACAAAAGTGGGAATTCTCACCTGGAGGCCTCCTGGGAGTGCTGCAGGTGCTGCTGCAGGAGCCGATCCCAGGCCTGGAGCTCCCCGGAGAGGCTGAGGGGGAGGGGACAGGTGGGACAGGTGGGACAGGGACAGGTGGGACAGGTGGGGACAGGTGTCCCCAAGTTAATTCTCAGTATCCCCAGGTGTGCCCAGGTGTGCCCCAGGTGTGTCCCCCAGGTGTGCCCAGCTGTCCCCAGGTGTCTCTCAGGTGTCCCCTCCCCATTCCAGGTGTGTTCCAGGTGTCCCCAAGGTGTCCCCAGAGTGTCCCTAGGTGTCCCCAAGGTGTCCCCAGGTGTGCCCAGGTGTGTCCCAGGTGTGCCCAGGTGTCCCAAAATGTCCCCAGAGTGTCCCCAGGTGTCCCAAAAATGTCCCCAGGTGTCCCCAGGTGTGCCCAGGTGTGCCCAGGTGTCCCAAAAATGTCCCCAGAGAGTCCCCAGGTGTGCCCCAGGTTTCTTCCCAATGTCCCCAGGTGTCCCCAGGTGTGTCCCAGGTGTGCCCAGGTGTGTCCCAGGTGTCCCCAGGTTTCTTCCCAATGTCCCCAGGTGTCCCCAGGTGTGTCCCAGGTGTGCCCAAGTGTGTCCCAGGTGTCCCCAAAGTGTCCCCAGGTGTGCCCAGGTGTGTCCCCAATGTCCCCAGGTGTGCCCAGGTGTCCCAAAAATGTCCCCAAAGTGTCCCGAGGTGTGCCCAGGTGTGTCCCAGGTGTCTTCCCAATGTCCCCAGGTGTGACCCAGGTGTGTCCCAGGTGTCCCCAGGTGTGTCCAGGTGTCCCCAAGTACCCCCAAGGTGTGTCCAGGTGTCCCCAAGTACCCCCAAGGTGTCCCCAGGTGTGCCCCAGGTGTCCCCAGGTGTGTCCAGGTGTCCCCAAGTACCCCCAAGGTGTCCCCAGGTGTGCCCCAGGTGTCCCCAGGTGTCCCCCAGGTGTGTCCCCAATGTCCCCAGGTGTGCCCAGGTGTCCCAAAAATGTCCCCAAAGTGTCCCGAGGTGTGCCCAGGTGTGTCCCAGGTGTCCCCAAGTACCCCCAAGGTGTCCCCAGGTGTGCCCCAGGTGTCCCCAGGTGTCCCTAGCTGTCCCCCAGGTGTGTCCCCAATGTCCCCAGGTGTGCCCACGTGTGCCCAGGTGTCCCAAAAATGTCCCCAGAGTGTCCCCAGGTGTGCCCACCTGGCCATCAGCTGCTTCACCTGAGCCACGGATTCCTCCAGCGCTGGATCCAGGGAATCCCTGTGGGAAAGGACCCAAAATTCCCCAGAAATTCTCAAATTTCGGGGCAAACCTGGCACCAATTCCCCAAAAATTCCCAAATTTTGGGGCAAATCCAGTGAAAACTCCCAAAAATTCCCAAATTTTGGGGTATATCCAGTGAAAATTCCCACATTTTTATTTCCTAAATTTTTTCCCCTTCCCAGCCTGGAATTCCCAATTTTTGGGGATTTCCATAAATTTTTCCCCTTCCCAGCCTGGAAATTCCCAATTTTAAAAATTTCCATATTTTTTCCCTTTTCCAGCCTGGAAATTCCCAATTTTTTTTCCCCCATAAATTTTTCCCCTTCCCAGTCTGCAAATTCCAAATTTTTTGGGATTTCCATAATTTTTTCCCTTTACCAGCCTGGAAATGCACAATTTTTCCAGATTTCCATGAATTTTTCCATTTCCCATGCTGCAAATTCCCAATTTTTTCAGATTTCCATACATTTTTTCCCCTTCCAGCCTTCAAATTCCCAATTTTTTTTTTTATTTCCGTTATTTTTTTTGTCATTCCCAGGGTGGAAATTCCCAATTTTTGGGGATTTCCATAAATTTTTCCCCCTCACAGCCTGGAAATTCCCAATTTTTTTGTTTTTACTTCAATGAATTTTTCATTTCTCATCCTGGAAATTCCCAAATTTTGGGGGTTTTGCCCCAAATTCTCACCCCGGGGTCGGTTCCAGGCAATTCCCGAGGGTCCCATCCTGGATCAGCCTCTGGAGGAACCTCTGGAATTCCTCAGAGCCCCTCTGGACTGGGGAAAAAATAGGAAAAAATGGGAAAAAATGGGATTAGAAACCACCCTGGAATTAATTATTTATTAATTCTTAATTAATTGCTGATTTTTCGAATAGAATTTAGGGATTTCTGGTGGTTTTCCCGATTATTTTTACCCAAATTCCCAACTTTTTTTGGGAATCAAGAACCCCAAGGAGCTGCTCTGACCTTCCCCCAGTTAATTATTGATTAATTATTAATTATCAGTCATTAATTCCATTATTTTCTCGTGTTCCCCCCTTTTTTTCCCCTGAAATTCCTGATTTTTCTGGGAATCAGAAAGACCCAGGAATCCCTCAGGATCCTTTTTCATCCTGCCCCAATTAACAATTAATTAATCATTAATTAACTATTAATTAATCCTCTATTTTAAAAGGAATTTAGCTATCAGCTCCTCTATTTCTGGTCATTTTTCTTGGACTTTTTTACCCAAATTCCCACTTTTTTTTTTTTTTTGGGAAAACCCAGGAATCCCTCAGGACCCCCCCCCCCACCAAAATTAATTCCAAATTAATTCTTAATTAATTATGCTGCTTTTTCCCCAAAAAAACCCAAATTTTTGAGGTCTCCACCCCTCTGGGGAGTTGGAAATTTGGGATTTTGAGGGGGAAAATCCCAAATTTTGGGGATTTCCCAACCTTTGGCAGCGAAAGCCTCGGGGTCGAATCCTTCGGATTCCTCCAGGACCTGCTGCAACTTCCGGGCAGAAAACTGAGGGAAAAAAGGAAAAAAATGGGAAAAATCCAATAAAAAATAGGGGAAAATGAGAAAAATCCAATAAAAATGGGGAAAAACGGGAAAAATCCAATAAAAATGGGGGAAATCCAAGAAAAAATGGGGGAAAAAATTAAAAAAAACAACAAAAAATGGGGAAAAAAAATAGGAAAAATCCAACAAAAAATGGGAAATATTCCAACAAAAAATGGGAAAAACCCAACAAAAAGTGGGGAAAAATGGGAAAATCCAATAAAAATCGGGAAAAAAAAAAAAAAATTGGGAAAATGGGAAAAATCCAACAAGAATGGAGAAAAATGGGGAAAATTCAACAAAAAGTGGGGGAAAATGGGAATAATCCAACAAAAAATGGGGAATGGGAAATATTCCAACAAAAAATGGGAAAAAAAGGAAAAGATGGGAAAAATTTTAAAAAAGGGTGGAAAATGGGAAAATCCAACAAAAATGGAGAAAATTGGGGAAAATCCAACAAAAAAATGGGGAAAAATTGGAAAAATCCAACAAAAAAATGGGAAAAGTTCAATAAAAAAGGGGAAAATGGGAAAAAAATGGGAAAAATGGGAATTATCCACTAAAAAATGGAAAAAAAATCAGCTTTTATCCCAACTTTCTGGGGCTTAAAACTAAGATTTGGAGCCCAATTTTTTTTTTTTTTTTTGTGTTTGAGCAGTCAGGTTAAGGAATTCAAAGATTTTTTTAGGGGGAAAATTCCAGGATTTGGGTAAATTCCAAGATTTTTGAGGTAATTCCATGATTTTCATTAATTTTATGATTTTTAGGAGCTCTTCCACCTCTGAAAGGGCCCAAAAATTCCCAGTATTTGGGCGAATTCCCAAGATTTTGGGTAAATTTAACATTTTTAGGAGCTGCTGCATCCCTGAAAGTACCAAAAAAATTCAAAATTTTGGTAAATTCCAGGGTTATGGCTTAATTCCAAGATTTTGGGTCCATTTAACATTTTCAGGAGCGGCTCCATCCCTGAAAATACCCAGAAATTCCAGGATTTTGGGTGAATTCCAAGATTTAGGTTAATTTTAGGATTTTCAGGAGCTGCTCAAGCCCTGGAAGGAACAAAAAATTCCCAGGATTTTGGGTAAATTCCAGGATTTTGAGTCAATCTTAGGATTTTTAGGAGCTGCTCCATCCCTGAAAATACCCAAAAATTTCAAAATTTTGTGTCAATTCCAAGATTTTGGTTAATTTTAGGATTTTCAGGAGCTGCTCAAGCCCTGGAAGAACTAAAAAATTTCCAGGATTTTGGGTGAATTTACCTGGAAGCTGGAGAGGAGGAGGAGGGAGAGACGTTGGACCTCGGGAAGCTCCAGGCTGATGGATTGGCTCAACCCTGGGAAAAAAAGGGTTAAAAAATGGTTAAAAAATGATTAAAAAATGGTGAAATTCCCCCCCAAAAAAAACCAGCTGGAATTTGGCCCAGAATTCCCCAAAAAGCAGCTGGGAACGGGGCAGGGTGTGGGGAAAATCAGGGAAAAAAGGAGGAAGAAATCAAATTGAAGGAGGAAAATGGGGAAAAGGGGAAAAAATGGAATTTAAGGGGGAAACTGGGAAAAATAAAGATAAAAAGTCACATTTAAGGGTCAAAAATGGAGGGAAATTGGGAAAAAATCAAATTTTAGGATGAAGAATGGGGAAAACAGAAAAAAGGAAAAGGAAAAACCCTATTTAGGGGGAAAAATTGGAAAAAAAGGAGGAAAACATATTTAAGGGGAAAAATGGGAAAAGAAAAAGGAAAAATCCCATTCAGGGGAAAAATGGGAAAAGAAAGAGGAAAAATCCCATTTAAGGGGGAAATGGGAAAATAAATAGGAAAATAATCACATTTAGGGAGAAAAATGGGAAAAGAAAGAGGAAAATTCAATTAATTTTTGATAATTTTAAAATAAATTTAAATTCATCAAAAAAAAAGTTAAAATGAAACGAAAACGAACTTACCTTTTCTTAAAATTAAATATTAGTATTTGAGATATTAATATATTAATTTAATATATTAAGTTAATATATTAATATATTAATTTGATATATTAAGTATTACATTTTTAATTTAAAAATATTTTTATTAATTTTAATATTTGAGATATTAATATATTAAATTAATATATTAAGTTAATATATTAATATATTAATTTGATATATTAAATATTATATTTTAAATTTAAAAATAATTTTAAAAACTTAAATATTAAAAATTAAATATTAAATCAAATTAACGATGAATTCGAACAAAATAACGAAATTTGTATTTAAAATTAAATTGATTTAAATTGAATTTTGAATATAAAATTAAATGAAATTTGAAAATAAAACGAAATTTGAATTTAATATCGATTTTAACTGAATTTTGAATTTGAAAATTAAATGAAATTTGAAAATAAAACGAAATTTGAATTTAATATCGATAGTAAATGAAATTTGAATTTAAAATTAAATTGATTTAAATTGAATTTTGAATATAAAATTAAATGAAACTTAAAAATAAAACGAAATTTTAATTTAATATCGATTTAAATTGAATTTTGAATTTTAAAATTAAATGAAAATTTGAAAATAAAACGAAATTTGAATTTAATATCATTTAAATTGAATTTTGAATTTGAAAATTGAATAAAATTTGAAAATAAAACGGAATTTGAATTTAATATCGATTTAAACTGAATTTTGAATTTGAAAATTAAATGAAATTTGAAAATAAAACGAAATTTGAATTTAATACCGATAGTAAATGAAATTTGAAAATAAAACGAAATTTGAATTTAATATCGATTTAAGTTGAATTCTGAATTTGAAAATTAAATGAAACTTAAAAATAAAACGAAATTTGAATTTAATATCGATTTAAATTGAATTTTGAATTTTAAAATTAAATGAAACTTAAAAATAAAACGAAATTTTAATTTAATATCGATTTAAATTGAATTCTGAATTTGAAAATTAAATGAAATTTGAAAATAAAACGAAATTTGAATTTAGAATTAAAATTTGATTAAAAACCAAAGTTACGCACCGGTGTGGAGCGGGGGCAGCGAGCTGCGGCGGGAGCGCCGCCCCTTGAGGCTGGAGCGGCGCCAGGAGCGGCGCGGGCCCCGCGGGCCCCGGGGCGCGGCCACGGCCGGGGACAGCCGGAACGAGCCCGGGGCCGCCCCGGGGCTGCCCGCGGCTCTTCGCCTCCTCCGGCCCGACGAGCCCGGCGTTCCCTTCGGCAGCGCGGCCGAGCCCGGCTCTGCAATGGGAATTCAGGGTGAGTTAAAAAGGAAATAATAAATATATTTGTGTAAGGTGGAATTTCAGACAAAGCAATCCTTCCTGCACCCACAGACCCAAATCTCACCCAAACCAATCTTCCCTTCACCCAGAGCTCCAAAACTCACCCAAACCAATCTTCCCTGCACCCAGAGCCCCAAATGTCACCCAAACCAATCCTTCCTCCACTGACAGCAGCCAAATGTCACCCAAACCAATCCTCCCTGCACCCAGAGCACCCAAATCTCACCCAAACCAATCCTCCCTGCACCCAGAGCCCCAAAACTCACCCAAACCAATCCTCCCTGCACCCAGAGCCCCAAATTTCACCCAAATCTCACCCAAACCAATCCTTCCTGCACCCAGAGCCCCAAATTTCACCCAAACCAATCCTTCCTGCACCCAGAGCCCCAAATTCCACCCAAATCTCACCCAAACCAATCCTCCCTGCACCCAGAGCCCCAAATCTCACCCAAACCAATCCTCCCTGCACCCAGAGCAGCCAAATTCCACCCAAATCTCACCCAAACCGATCCTCCCTGCACCCAGAGCCCCAAATTTCACCCAAACCAATCCTCCCTGCACCCAGAGCTCTAAATCTCACCCAAACCAATCCTCCCTGCACCCAGAGCCCCAAATTCCATCCAAATCTCACCTAAACCAATCCTCCCTTCACCCAGAGCCCCAAATTTCACCCAAATGTCACCCAAACCAATCCTCCCTGCACCCAGAGCCCCAAATTTCACCCAAACCAATCCTTCCTGCACCCAGAGCCCCAAATCTCACCCAAACCAATCCTTCCTGCACCCAGAGCCCCAAATTCCACCCAAATCTCACCCAAACCAATCCTCCCTCCCCCGATTCCCTTCCCTGCCCTCACCTGGCGCGGCTCCCCGGCTCTCCGTGCTGGCTCCGCCGGACCGTGGCTGAAGGGAAGAACCGTTACCCGCCTGGAACCGCGGCTCCCCCGCGGCTCCCCCCGGCCGAGCCGGACCCTTCCAGCGCTCACCTCGTCCTCCCGCGGCCCGGCCGAGCCCCGCGGGGACGGGGCCGCGGCCGGCCCGGGGGAACCGCCGGTTCCCGCCGCGGTTTCCTCCATGGCGGATTCCCGCCGCTCGCTTGCCCTCAGCGCCGCGCGCATGCGCGGAACCCGCGACGGCTTCGCCGCCAGCATGGCGCGGGCGCGGGGCGGTGCCTGCCCTCACAACGGGGAGGTGCCCGCCCTCACAGCGGACGCGAAACCCGCCCCACCCTTCCCACTTCCCTCGATATTTCCGTCCTTTCCCTCCCCTCAGGACGCTGCCAGTCTTTTCCAGCCCCTCACGATCTTCCTGCCCTTTTCCCGCCCCTCACACCTTCACGTCCTTTTCTCTTCCCTCACGCTCTTCTCGCTCTTTTTCCACCCCTCACGACCTTCCCGCCCTTTTTTAGCCCCTCACGATCTTTCCGCCATTTTCCCTCCCCTTATGATCTTCCCGCCCTTTTCCTCCCCTCAGGATCTTCCCGCCCTTTTCTCTCCCCTCACGACCTTCCCGCCCTTTTCTCTCCCCTCACGACCTTCCCGCCCTTTTCCCGCCCCTCACACCTTCACGTCCTTTTCTCTTCCCTCACACTCTTCTCGCTCTTTTTCCACCCCTCACGACCTTCCCGCCATTTTCCCTCTCCTCACGCTCTTCTCGCCCTTTTTCCTCCCCTCACGATCTTCCCACCCCTCACGATCTTCCCGCCCTTTTTTCTCCCCTCACGATCTTCCCGCCCTTTTTCCTCCCCTCAGGATCTTCCCGCCCTTTTTTAGCCCCTCACGATCTTCCCGCCCTTTTCCCTCCCCTCACGACCTTCCCGCCCTTTTCCTCCCCTCAGGATCTTCCCGCCCTTTTCCTCCCCTCATGATCTTCCCGCCCTTTTCCCACCCCTCATGAACCTCATGCCCACCGAGCCCAAACCCAAGAGAAATAAAAAACCAGAAGAAAAGTGGGGAGAAAAAGGAAAAAAAAAAAAAAAAAAAGGCTTTGGAAGTTTATTTTTTTTGATTAAAAATCTCAACTGAAAGGGGCGGCCTCTGAGCACAGCACTAGAACGGCACAAACCCCCTGGAATTCCCATGGGGAAATCCTGTGGTTCGGCTGTTTTGTGGTGAATTTGGGGGTTTTAATTTGATTTTTGTACTTTTTCCATCAGAAAAAGTAAAGCCGTGGAATTTTCCCGATATGAAATCCCTGGGAATGACTCCAGGGGAAGGTCCGACCTGCGTGTGACGTCCAGCGAGAAGTTTAGTAAAGCAATGTTCCCATTATTGAGATAAATTATTTTTAAAAAGCTGAATTTCCTATAGAAAATTACAATACAGAGAACATCCAATTGCAGTGGAGGGGTTTAACTGGAACTATTCACCTAGAACAGAAATCCCAGCATAAAAAACCGGACGAAACAAAAATAAATCCATTTTTTTCCGCTGTAAAACAAGAGACAAACGCCAAGAGGTTTTTTTTTTTTTTTCCTTCTTCAGGTTTTTCATGTAAAATCCAAAGTTTTTCCTTAAAAAAACTGAATTTTCTGAGGCGAAATGAAATTATAAATAATTCCGAGTCGGCGCTGAGAGGTAGAGGCGGCGCTGCCATCACAATCTATTGGCTTGTTCTGAGGTAATTCATTCATTGCGAGTCAATAATTCCACCGGCCCGAGAGCGATATTAATTAATTAACGTTAATTGACCTCTCTCCTCTCAAAAAGGTCCCAAAATCTCTTTAATTGGAGGCGTCGGAGTTGACGCTGCCGGGGTCTGCGGCGGGGGAGGTGATGGAGGAGGGGGTGGCGGCGTCCTGCCAGCTGCCATTGGCCTGAGGGACATTAAATCATAATTAATTCATGATTAATTAAATTGTAATTAATTAATTAATCATAATTGGCAATAAATAATCAATAAATTATCTATACATGACATAACAGGGCTCTGTGAGTTTGGATGTGAGGGTGGTTTTAAAAGGAAATTGATACCCCAAAAAACCTCCTGCTCCTTTGATTTATAATTTAATATAAGTATAATTTTATATTCATATATATAAGTTTTTTATATATTAATTTTCAATAAACATAATAAATTTCTATTTTTATTTCATGTGTAATATTATGTCAAATATATTTCAAAACATATTAGTAAGTATATGCTTGTAATTTCTACATTTAAATCTAAATTTATGTACTTAAATGAATTTAATGTATAGTAATAACAATAATAGTAGCTCTTTATTATAGAAATTAAAGTATGCATATATAATACATATATATGTAATATATATTGTACATAAATGTATAAACACATATATACGTAATATATATTATACATAAATGCATAAATACATATACGTAGTATGTATTATATATAAATGTATAAATTCAAATATATATGTAATCGATATTATAAATAAATGTATAATTTCTAAAAATACTATACTGTTCATTAATATAAACCGATAATATTTATACAATATAGTTTTATACAATTTTATAGTTTTCTATAATGTTACATAATATACAAATAATTTATACAAATTATACAATAATTTCATATAATTTAATCATTTATATAGTTTAATTTTAATCCAGATTAAATACAAAATGTACTCAAATATTTAAATTTCTATTAATGATATCCATTAAATGTTACATTTGCATATAGTAAATATAGTAATATTAGTAACAACATTAAATATGGTAAAAGGTTGAAAAATTTAAACTAAGGTTTAAAAATTTAAATTTAAAAATGTACAAGTTGGCCAATTAAATTTAATTTTTCCAGCTTTTTCTCCATCCCAACATCAGCCATATGTTGAGGGAAATAATAAAAAATAAAAATTAAAATTAAAATGAATTGAAAATAAAAATAAAAACAAATGGAGAAAATGCAATTTTTGGATAATAATGAGAATAAAACAGAATAAAACAAAGTCACCTCGAGGCGCTGCGTGGAGTACAAAGGGCTCCCCACGAGGGGCTCGAACCTCCCCGAGTGCTGCAGGACGTGGTGCAGGGAATCCAGCTGCAAAATCCAAAAAAAAAAACACAAAAAAAGGGAAAAAAAGCTGAAAAAAAACAGCCTGGAATGCCCGAAATGGGAATTTTTCACTCACAATTTCCATGGGAATAAAGAGTCGGAGCGAGAGGAGGAATTTGAGAATTTGGTAAAAATTTGGGAATTTAAATCAAAATTTCAGGGGATTTTTAATCAAAATTTCAGTGGGGATTTCAAGCGAGAGAAGGGAATTTATGGATTTAATAATGAGATTTTTTAATAGGAATTTGGGTGAGAATTTCAGTGGGAATTTTGGATTTTCAGTGGGAATATCACTGAAAATTTTGGAATTTGAGTGAGAATTTCCCTCCTAATCCCAAGAGGAATTTCAGATTTTCAGTAAAAGCAGAAATTTGAAGAACCCCAAACCTTTAAACAACCCTGAAAATCGCAGGAGGAATTCCTCCGGGATCCAGGGCAGAAATTTGGATTTTTTCCCCATTTTTCCTCACCTGGCTCTGCACGTTGGGAGGGCTCTGGTAGGAATTCAAGGGCTGCAGGTTGAGGAAGGAATCTCCAGAATTTGTCATCTTAAAAGACCCAGAGGAAGCTGAAAAAACACCAAAAAAACCCCCAAAAAATGCAATTAAAATAAAGAATTTTAGTGCATGACAAACCCGCCCAGAATGGTTCTTCAGGTGAGATAGAAAGGGGAATAAATGGAATAAAAATGGGAATAAAAGGGATTTTAAAAGAGAATAAAATGGAATGATAAAGGGAGTAAAATGGAAATAAAAATGAAATAAAATGGAATGAAATGGAAGGAAATAAATGGGAATGAAAATAAAGAAACGGAGGGAAAGTAGATCAAAGGAAATAAAAAATAAATGGCAATAGAAATCAGAAAAAGAATTAAAATGGAAATATAAATAAATAAATGGACATAAAATTCTATAAAAATATGAAACAAAAGGGGATGGGCCCTGGTAGCCAAAATAAATCAAATTAAACCCAAAAAAATCAAATTAAACCCAAATAAACCCAAATCAAAAAGGTCAAACATTGCTCCCAGGAGCCAGAACCGCAGCTCGTTAATTAGCCCAGGTTAATTAGTGATTCTCACCGGAGTTGGGCGAGCAGGGGGCGGGGCCCTGGTAGCCAAAATAAATCAAATTAAACCCCAAAAAATCAAATTAAACCCAAATAAAAAGGTAAAATCACGCTCCCAGCGGGCAGAACCGCAGCTCATTAATTAGCCCGGGTTAATTAACGATTCTCACCGGAGTTGGGCGAGCAGGGCGCCTCCCCCGCGCCCCGGGCCGCGTAGATATTTGCCTCCTCCTGGAACTTGCCCATGTTCTTCTTGTAGCGGATGCGCTTGTTCCCGAACCAGTTGGACACCTGGGAAAGGGAATTCCAGGAATTTTTCCCAAAATCCCACAAATTTGCACCAAAATCCTGGATATTTGCCCCCAAAATCCCATGAAATTTGCTCCAAAATCGCAGAAATTTTCCCCAGAATCAAAAAAAATTTGGCCTGAAAATTCCAGGAATTTGCCCCAAAATCCCAGAAAATTGCCCTAAAATCCTGTGAATTTCCTCCAAAATCCCAGGAATTCGGCCCGAAATCGCAGCAGTTTTCCCGAAATCCTGTGAATTTGCCCAAATCCCAGAAATTTGCCTCAAAATCCCAGGATTTGCCCCAAAATCCCAAGAATTTGCCCAAATCCCAGAAATTTGCCTCAAAATCCCAGGATTTGCCCCAAAATCCCAAGAATTTGTCCCAAAATACCGGGAATTTGCCCCGAAATCCCAGAAATTTCCCCCATAATCTCAGGAATTTGCCTCAAATCCCAGAAATTTGCACCAAAATCCTGGATATTTGCCCCCAAAATCCCATGAAATTTGCTCCAAAACCGCAGAAATTTTCCCCAGAATCAAAAAAATTTGGCCTGAAAATTCCAGGAATTTGCCCCAAAATCCTGGGAATTTCCCCAAAATCCCAGAAATTTCCCCCTAAATCCCAGGATTTTCCCCAGAATCCTGGGGAACTTCCCCCGAAATCCCAAGAATTTGCCCAAATCCCAGAAATTTGCCTCAAAATCCCAGGATTTGCCCCAAAATCCCAAGAATTTGTCCCAAAATCCCAGGAATTTGCCCCAAA